TATTTTAGAAGCGACTATACAGCCACAGCCGACTACTTAGTAAACTGCTGGCTATACAGCAAGCTATTTAGTAAAATGCTGGCTATATAGTAGTATCCTTCGCACACGCTCTTTGTGTCGAGGTTTCTCCCCACGAGCGACTTCTCACCCGAGCACAACTTTCCATTCCCTTTGTTTTACGTTGGCCAATCAGATTTAGCAACATAAATATCTAAATAAATTTAGCGACATAAATATCTTAATAAGTCCAAGGTCATAACTGCTAACCATAACCTTTTGAAAGTTAGAAAAGGTGGGAAAAAAGTTTTTAAAATTATTTAAGAAAAAAATATTCTAATTCAGACAAAACACAACCCGACCCGGACTGCGTATCACTTTCCGCACGCAACGCCTTTATACGCTAATGGCAAGCTTGGTAAAACCGTAAAAGCTAGCACAAGCAAAAGTTTTTACATTTAACTATAGTCACTATATAGCCGACAATTTACTATATACCCTGCTGTATTGTCACTTTGTTTATATTTGATGATATGATATATGATATATATCTCTTCTCTACCACAATCAACTCTCAGAAAGCCACCATTTATATAATAAAAACAGACTGAATAAGAGTTAAAAAAATGGGCATTTATTAACGTACCATTATTTATGTATGCTCTATATAAAAATGAAAAATACATACAATCTGTAAATACATTTTATCAGTGGCGGCGCCAGGGCGGGGGCGGCAAGGGGGGTGGGGAAATGCCCCCTCTAACCCCCCATTTTGCCACCCTTCAAAAAAAAGTATTAGTCACTGAGACGGACTTAAGGCTACACAAACGTTTTGTCGTTATCGGAAAATGTATGGCTTATAAGTTGTCATTGCTCATTAGTGAATGCGCGTATACATGAAACTGTTTTTTACAGTTTCAATATTAGTTTGTAAATCTCTGAACGGTAAAACTTGCCAATACTTCAATAATCCGTTTCAAAAAAGACAAAAAAGCTTTAGTTTTGCAGAGTTAAATTCTCAAACATGTAAGGCACTAAAAAGATGAAAGCATCACGAAATTATTTGAATAAAACACAGCGCATATATTGGGGAGAATATCCTAAAGGGGTCGATATTCCCAGGGTATTCGCTCCCCTCCCCTTTTGAGATGGGGGATGGGCGAATCTCCTGGGGGGGGGCGAAAGTCCTGTGACAACGGCATGGGCAAATAGCAGTGCCTTTCTAGAAAATAATTCTATCTTGCCCCCCCCACAAAATATGAGTTTGCCCCTCAAATGCTTCCCCAAATTCTGAGGCTTGGCGCCGCCACTGCATTTTATGAACTTTAAATCAACTTATGAAGCAATCCTATATAAATTATAAGATGTCCTGTGACTAATGTACCATATAACACAATTTTAACGTTATAACATTATAATTTAAAAATCTAAATTGTGTGACTATATAAATGTGCCGTAACAAAATAATTATGAATATATGAATAAACCTTCGATATTATTAAAAAAGCATACAAGGTCACTCACGAAAAAGCTTTACTATGTTACTTTGGGTAATCTTCTAGGATGTAACAAAAAGTTTTTTTATCGGACAATTTAGCAGTCGGGCAAAATCAAACCTCGAGTCAAACAAATAGTTTCACTTCACTCTGTAGAAAGCGACCGTCTTTGTTTTACGGTCTATTCGCAGGCGTACAAGCCCTAATTAGTCGAACTAAGTGTTCAACGCACGCACAGCGACACCCACAACTCGATAGCGTAGTATCTAGCGCTAGGCGCAGATACAAATATGTTGTTTATACTTTAAACAATAAATTTTAACCAGGCATAAGGGAGAATTGTTCAGAACGTGGAGACCGATACATCTATATATCTCCATTTTAACTTAAATCGGATAAGATTGACTAGATTTTGATTAGTTACTCCCTTGAAAGTCTTACAATCTTTCCAAACCTTTAGCTCACAACACAGTTCTATGAAATAGTTTGCAAAATGTTGTAAGTTGCAGATAAGCATACCTTATCTCCAGTTCGCTTTTAGGCGCACCAAAGTTTGCATGGACTTGACAAAATATTATCAGAACTGCAGGGAAAACTTTAAGGCAAACCATCTTGTTGCTTGCTGCAAATAACAGTAACACACTTGCTGCTTTCACGCGGAATACAATTTGAAGTCAGTAATGAAACGAAGTTCAAGGTTGAAGATTTCTTTGGAGCTCCCTTGCTAAATACTATTATACCAAATAGGTTCCTCTGGCACTGCTCTGGAGTTTTTATATCGCACAAACAAGTTAATTATTATGCAAATTTCACTATTTAGATGTATTTGTGCGTCGTGTGGACGTGCAGATTTGCAAGCTTCATTAAATTCCTCATTGTGTTGTGAAAATATACTTGCTCTTGGATTAGGTGAGGTGGTGCACTTTGTTTTTTGTCACTTGGTTTTAATTAAGTTTAGTTCCCCTGGCTTTGCCTTTGACAATAGTTATCCATCAAGAGGGAAATTGAAAGGGCCTTCAGAATATTTGTCATAACATCGTACAATGTTGAATTGTTTGGATTAATTTCATAATTATTTTTTAAATGTTGAAAAATGCAATAAAATCTTTGAAAATCTTTGCTTCAGAATATCTGCAAAAGGAACAGTATTATAAAGTGTTTGAAGACTGTTGGATTGTTTTAGGTTTGGACAAGGCTTAATTAATAAGTTGAGTTTGATATTATGTATATATAGACAAGTTGCGAATCCCTCGCAAGTCGCTGGAATTTTCAGAAAACGCTTGAACCAAATTAAAATTGTCAATTGATTGTATAATTATTAATACAATAATTATTATGCAATTTGATTATTTGGTTTTGGCATTCAAAACCTGTGGGAAAGCAATGAGGCGTTTTGCAGTTACTCAAATAGCATTAGTGCAGGAGCAGGAGCCTTCAAAGTAATTACTATAGAAAAGTTCAAATCATTTAAAAACGTTATGCAAATAAATGAAAGTTTTTTTATATATTATTTATTAATTAATTAAAGCATTGTTTCACTGTTTGAGAGTTTAGATATTATTCATGCCATTACTAGCTACTGTAATTTGTATAGTGAGTTCAATTTCTTCTCGCGGCATGTTTTAATTAATAATTGTGACTGTTTAATTTAAATGCATTTTTGAGCAGTTCTAATCTTTCCTTTACACAATTAAAAAAATTGCCGTGATATTTTTTAAAACCATTTTGTTTTGTATCCTATAGATATCTCAATTTGTACGATTGTGTTTTTGAAACTTTGTAAAGTGAATTAAAACTTTATTTCGAGGCATTCGAGAAATAGTATTACATCCATTTTACCAAATTTCTCAGCCATTTCCTGAACAAATCAAAGCTAAACAGGAATATTTTTTTAATTCTAACTGGTGAAAAAAGTCATTCCATCATTATGTTTATATTCTAAGCAGAAATCGGAAAAAAACAGTTTGTAATAAAGCAATAAAGGAAGCCATTTTGAAAGCGTGCATACAAGAAACACTGCAGCAGCAGTAAAACAGTAACCGTGAACCTGTCAAAAACAGTTTTATTTCTGAATTTTAGTTATTCTGAACTGATATTCGGATATTTTGTATTATATTCATTAAAACTTTATACTAAAACAATTATTCGCCTCAGGCTCAGTGATTACGCGGTGAATATTCACAGGTAATGGCTTCTCCTTCGGCGAATAATTGTTGAATAAATAGAGAATAAATACATGGGTGCGCGGAAATACCAGAGTTAATTCGAGTGTTGAACATGATATACGAGAAAATAACACTTACATATGTTTATATACAGTAATAATACATGATAATACCACGATACAGTTCGTCCATCATATGTATTGGGACAATTTATTGCTTTATTCGTTATTGTAACCGAGAAACCAAGGGTTTGTCTCCAAAATATGATTTATAATTTTATGTCTAATCGATAATACTGAATATTGAACTGATGAATGTTGTTTATTTTCTTTCGTTTTTGTATAGCGCAATGGTATCGCAACGATTGAAAAGAATCTGGCTACACGTGTATTATTTTTAGCAAAGGGAGACTATAGTAAAAAGATATTGGGAGGGCTCAATTTTCCATCAAGAGACGTGTCAATCATCAACTTTGACCGCATCTCCCAATGATCCGCAATCTTTATCCAAAATTAAATTGTGTAAAATTTCGGCAACGATTGCGAGAAGCTTTGCGTTACTGTCACAGAGCGTAATACACAAGCAATATCCCTCTCACAGCGGAAATTTAATGATTTTACCACCACGTTCTGCATGCTCTGTAGCTGTCAGAAAAATATTGACCGCGGTGTATGCGAAGCTTAATATGGCATATGAAGCAATAAGCAGAACACGGAGTGATTAATACAAGTGATTTGATTAAACATGCCAGAAGCTATTTGACAAATATAAGGACAGTCACTGCTTATATGCGTGCTTTCGTCCTAAGCCAGGTCAAACGAGAATGAGAGTTGATGAGAGTCAACGAATGGTTGCAAGGGACATTTCAGGGTCTAGATTGACAAAACAAATTAAAGTTTTGACGAGTGTTCCAACTATGTTCTAACTTAAATAGAATGCATGATAGTGTTGGGAAAGCATTAAGAATAGCTAACCAAGGTCGCGGAACTGCCAACTCTCACGCACTCTCATCGTCGCTCAAAAATATTTACTTCAAGAATGCACTTTCTTTAATATGCTCCAACACAACGATAATATAACGCAAATAGAAAAATTTATAGAAAAATCAATCAAACAAAAGGTGAAAACGAATGAATCATTAATCAGAGATTCAGGCAAATAGAATTGAACTCCTAACTCACATTCACGACACTCAAGTAACATCAAGTGTTTTTCTCAGAGGCAATATTAGAAACGCTGTTATTGATTGGCAAAAACTCTTCTAGCTTTTTCTTATACTGTCAATATTATACAACACCTACGAAGTTTTCAATATAGTGTAACTAAAACGGTTGATGAGCTGCAAATTAACCTTGGAGAAATTAATGAAAATTGACAACCAATCAATTTCATGACATAATCTTGTGCAACACAATATACAATCAAGAACACATCAGCGTGGCCGAAAAAGCGTTTAACCTGAGTGCATGGCTCTTATCACTTAGCGTTTTGCAATACCAGCCAGTAGAATTGCCGACTATGAACCATCATGTGACATGACATTGATTTGGGAAAACACCCCGGCCGGGTTTTTACATTCTCTAATAATATTCATAAATATTAATTTGAACTAGAAAACTGAAATAGTAACTTACAAGCGTATTGAAAAAGCAGCAAACTCAATGAAGCGTTTGCATGTTTGTTTGTAAGACAAAGCTCTTTATCTATCTTAATAAAAAATTAATATCCGGTGTTTAAGAATTTTTAGTAATTACAACAAGTATATTTTACTAACCTATGCCGACACGTAACTAAGATATAGGTTCGCAATTAGTTTCCATTTAGTATTTTTGTTTACACTTTATATCAATATTGCGGTATCTTAATTAAACGGATTAGAATATTCCAACATCTTTTAGGATGCTATAGATTAAAGTATTAATTATTAGACTTATATAGCTGCAGTAGTTAGGATAAAGCCGCCAAGTGTAGGGGGGAGGGGGGAG